ATCTGGGATCCTGAAATAGCCACACACCGCCTCTCCTGAAGAGCAGGGAGATCCAGAGCATCTTGACAAGGCGGGAACCTTCTGTTCCCAACAGAAACACAATCCTCTAGGGAGAGCCAAGTTTCTGTAAGGGAAAAAAAAAGTCCTCCTAAAGCCACGCAGTTGGTGCCTGTGGTTCAGGGCTCAGGGTAGTTGGGGCTAAATGTCTCATGTCACCACCATCAACAGGGAGCAACTTGTCCTGTGTTAAAAGTCATAGGGCTAGGGAGATGGCTCAGTGGGCACAGAGTTTGCTACAGGGGCACAAGGACATGAATTCAGATTCTAATTGCCCTGGAGGCACATGGACACTCATCTGCAACTCCAGAGTGAGGAGTGTGAGGATCAATGACCAGTGAGCCTCGCTCAGAGAGTGATGCGGGATTCTTCTCTGTATGCTGTGAGTACCATCAGTTGATAAAGAAACTGGTTTAGACCTGTGATAGGGTAGAGTAGAGATAGAAGGGAAAAACTAAACTGAAGGCTGGAAGAAAGGAGGCAGAGTCAGGGAGATGCCATGAAGCCACTGCCTGAGATAGATATGTGGAACCTTGCCGGTAGGCCACGAGCCTCATGGTAAAATCTAAAACAATGAAAATGGGTTAAATTAAGATGTAAAAACCAGCCAAGAAGAAGTTAGAGCTAATAGGCCAAGCAGTGATTTAATTAATACAGTTTCTCTCCGGTTTATTTTGGGGTTGAGCAGCCGAGAACCAACAAGCAGCCTTGTACAACAAAACAGTGAGCTCCAAAATCAACGAGAGATCTCAATAAAATGGCGGGGGGGGGGGAGTGCGATGGAGGGAGAGCCTTGACATGGGCCTCGGACCTCAGTACTACACACCACACACGCACGTGCACACACACACGCTGACACACACACATGGGGGGGGGAGGGTAGACACAGGTACCATGTGTAGACACCCAGGAGAAAGAGGCAGATGCTGAAGTGGTACCCAGAGAGGCAGCAAAGGTAACAATGACTTCACCCACCGGTCTGTGAAAGAGCAAAGCTGGGGGTCTTTAATTGTAAGAGGGACACTCACTTGTGATTGGACTACAAACCGGAAGAGGTTCTGGGCTCATTTTGTGCATTACTGACTTCAGTATCAGCCAAGGCTCCCTCTGTAAGCACTGGGAGAGGGCACACTGGCTTCTGCTACTTGTCTGAACAGGCACCTCGTTTGTTTTCCAGTTCTAGGTTCACCAGGGCTTTCTAACCGTTGCCCACCCAAAGTCTTCATGTTGGCCTTGGCTTGATCCACTCGGTAAAGATGGTGAAGTTGACAACCATCACTTTTCACAGCTGAACTGACTTTGGCACACCTGTGTAACATCATACATGCTCAACAGGTTACTCAATGCAGGGCTAAGTGCTTGCTGCACATCCCATCCGCATATCTGAAGACTAAACCCTCTTGTCATACTTACCCATCTCTACCATCAGCCCCTGTGCTTTAAGAAATAAATAAATAAGACTTATTTACATTTATGTGTGTAAGTATTTTGCCGGATTGCGTATCTATGCATTTGTGTGCAGGTCTGGTGTCCAAGGAGGACAGAAGAGGGAGCTGGCTTCCCTGGAAGTAGGGGGTCACTGATGTTTATAAGCGTGCATGTGGGTGCTGGGGTGCTGTGGAACAATGGTTTCACCTTGTAAAGATTTGGTTCTTGTACTTGTTTAATAAAATGCTGATTGGCCAGTAACCAGGCAGGAAGTATAGGAGGCGGAGCAATGAGAACAGGAGAATTCTGGGAAGAAGAAAGATTCAGTTTGCAGTTGTGACCCAGCTGCAGAGAAAGCAAGATGAGAATGCCTCACTGATAAAGGTACCAAGTCACGTGGCTGACACAGACAAAAACAATGAACTAATTTAAGATGTAAGAATTAGTTAATAAAAGCCTGAGCTACTAGGCCAACTGGTTTACAATTAACGTCGATCTCTGTGTTTCTTTGGGGGTAATTGGCTGTGGGAACAGGCAGGACATAAACCTCCGGTCAACACTGGGTGCTGTTAAACCACCCAGTCATCTCTCTAACCATGAGATCCCATACTTTCCTCTCTCATTCCCCATCTCTATTGCGTCCCCAACACATACTCTCCTAGTGGCCAATGAAGAAACACCTGTGGGGCAGCTGGTGTGCACTCAGACCTCACACAAAGGAGGAAAGGGCACGGACTCCAGAGCACACCGTCTGGCTGAAAGTCTGTGGGGCTTTGACACGTCTCAGGCTCCACTAAGGATCCATCTTCCTCATCTGCACAATAATAGCATTAACACCTTACAGGGTCACAGCAAGCATTAATGAGTTTATCCTTGAGAAGCCCTTAGGATAGAACCTGCTGCTCTAATCCTAAATGCAGCCTGGCCATTACTTATTGCTATAGCTTTGCTCTCAAGGGTCCTATGGTGGCATCGGACGATCACCACTGATCCCCACAGGCAAGAGTTTGAGACAGAAGTGGCGAGAGACTCAAGTTTAAGATGGGATATGCAGGAAATGTCACCCTAAGAACTATTAAAGGAAGAAGGCAAAGAGAAAACAGAACAAAAACACGGGGGGAAAGTGCCACGTGGCAGGGAAAACAGGGAGAGGGGACACAGCAAAAGAAAAAAAGTAAAGAAAAACAGAACCGTCAGCATGAAGGGCAAGAGAAAAGAAAGCAGAAGGAAGCAAGGGTAACCATGGCGATTAAAGGGGGCCTTGGGTGTGATGGCCCACACCTTTAATCCCATCACTGGGGAAGCAGGGGCAGGCCACCTCTGAGTGTTCAAGTTCTAGGCCAGCTTTGTCTATATAGGTAGGGAGCTCTGGGCCAGCCAAGGCTACACAGCGCAACCCTGTCTCAAAGAACAACACATTCACAGAACTAAAGCATAAAAATCAATTGGGCAAGAAGCCCCTTCACATCCTGAGCTGCATCAGAAGTGCTCACTCTTCAGAAAAGCTTGACTGTAGAATTAGTTTGGATCTAAAGAGCGGGAAGCCAAGGAGGGGGAGATGTTGCCGGAGAAGGCTGAGGGGCACGGCCCAGAGTCTTCTCAGAGAGAATGAGTTTACGAGCTCACTTCAGTCCTTCCTCTTGATCCCCAAGGCTCCTGTACCCTTCCTCCCATTTCAGCTTCAGCTAAAAGCTGGCCCGCCTTAGTCCTAGAGTTCCACCGTCCAGATGTTGGCCTTGTGACTCCTTGCTCTACCAGCAAGGCCAAGATGCAGCAGGGTCCCAGACTTATTCATTCCCCTAATGCTCTCTCTAGTCATCATTTTAAAGGGGGAAACTGACTCAGGAATATGTTTGTGGAGAACCGCGAACTTTCAAAAATCTGTTATTTTTTTTTTTTAAAAAAAGTGTTTTCTCTAAATCCCCCGGCCCCCCCCCCCCCCACTAGCCTCCCTCCCTCCCCGCTCCTAGCCTAGCCGGGTAAGAACTGGAAGGAAGCAGCGATGCTCTACTGAAGGAATAATGCTGTTTGGAGCTCTAACTTGCCTCGGAATCACAGAGATCAACCACATAGAAACGAGAGAGGGTGGGTCGGGACTTAAAATAAAAACCCGCATTTTAAAAATCACTTTCACTGTTATCCTTAATTAATTGCCTGCTGTAAAACGCGCCCTGTCGTCCGCTGTAAAACGCGCCCTGTCGTCCTACTCGAGGAACCCGGGAGGGTGCTGGAGAGGAACTCATCCCCGCGGCTCCGCCCAGGACTCCGGCTCCTCAGCCGCGCGCCAGGCTGGGAGGAGGCTCGGCGGCACGTGACCCGCTCCAGCCGCCGTGGCCGGCGACCCAGTTCCGTACCCGGAACCCAAGCGCTGCTGTCCTGGCCTTGCTGCGCTCCAATGCGCGTGCATTTGGGGCCCAGATCCCTTCTGGGTTCACGTGCCACCGGCGATCTCGAATGCCCCCCCAAGGGAACGTGACTGTCCCATTCCGTGCAGGAGCAACCCGGGGTCTCCACGTCCGCGGGGATGGGATTCAAATTCGTATTTATCCTGAGCTACGGGGTCACTGGCACCTGAGGACGCCTGTCCTCTCGGGCGTGTGGACTGAGCTCCCGAGGCCGCGGGGCGCGCGCACGGCATCCCTGCGCGCTGATGTGGCAGCCGCCGCAGGTCGCATCACGTTGCCGGCCCTGTGCTGGTACCCGCTGGAGACGGGATTAAGGAGGGAGGCCGCGGAGGTGCCAGTAGTAAACGTGGGCTTGTCACACTCTCAGCGTGGCTTATCGCACTTCGGGGGTGGGGGTGGGAAGCACCACGACGTCTCACAAGCTGGGGCAGGCAGGACCCCGACTGCGTGGCTCTCCCTCAGCAGTCCTTACGTGCCACCCGCTTCGTGCCACCCCTCCCCCAGTCTACGCTCCCCCGGGACAACCCGAGGCCCCAAACGTCATCTGCCGTTGTGATGAGTGGCACCGCAATTCCGGCTGCTGCGGGAAGTTTAGGTAGTCCGGGGACACCGTGTCGCCAAAGCTACTTAGAATGCGACATTTGGAACAAGTGACTACATTTTCAGTGATCCTAATTCCTTCCAGAGATTGGACTGCAAGTCCTCCTATTTTCAGGGTAGCCCTCCAGCCAGCGCCACGGGGTGTCTTTCTACTCTACCCTACCCTCCCTCCACGCCCGACCAGTGAGCAGTGAGCAAAGCCTCGGAATTTTCCTTCCCTGCTGAAGTTTAGCCACCGGGAATTTGCGTCCTTTCTCTGGCTCAAACCAACAGCAATCGGTGGGAAAGCAAAAGGCCACGTTCACGGTTCTGCACCGAGATGCCGGCTGAGCCGGGGTAGCCGCGCGTCCCGCCCCGCCCCCGCGCCCTGCAGCGCCACGGGGGAAGACGAACCGCTCGGCCCGGGTGGCCGCTTCCTCCTGGTGGCCCCGATCAGGTGTCCCCGCCCCCTCCCGGCCCCTCCTCCCCGCCCCCCTCCGGGCTGGACCGCGGATGGTACGTTCCGCACGTGAGCTGGGTGCTGGTCTGGCCGGCGACGCGCGTGCCCTGTGGCCAAACACTGCCCGGAGTGAGAGCTAACTACCAGCGCAGTGCGTGTGTGTGCGCGCGGGTGTGTGCGCGCGGGTGTGCGAGAGGGTGAGCGAGCGAGCACGGGGCGGAGGGGCGGCCAACTGCTTCACACTTTCAACACTGCACCGAAGAGGGAGAGCGAGACAGCCTGGAGACGCACACATCCCCCCAAGATCTCCCCAGGCGAACGTCCCACAGATTACAGGACAGAACCCTCCAAATCGAAACGGAGGAAACGGACAGCCATTGAACATGGACGAAGGAATCCCTCATTTGCAAGAGAGACAGTTACTGGAACATAGGGATTTTATAGGGTAAGGTGTACGCACCGTTGCGAATATCTAGATGTCTAGGAGTCGGTTTGCCTTTTTTTATCCTGCACGAAGTGATATGGAACGGGCGAGGGCAGAGCCCCTCCCGGAATGGGGGCCTGATGCTGATTTCTGTTTTTGCAGACTGGATTACGCCTCTTTGTATATGTGTAAACCCAAAAGGAGCTTGAAGCGAGATGACACCAAGGTAAGCTTTAAGTTTCCAATAACCTGCCTGGATAGTTAATTAGGGCCATTGATTTTGCAGGGAAACTCTGCCTGCAAATATATTCCAGCCTCGAGCTTCCCTAACTGTGAATTTTAAGTGGCTTGCTGGATACTCGGGGGGGGGATAGTCAACACCGCACCTGAATTTAAATTGGATTTTAGAAGTCTAGAGGAGAGAGAGTTCCTGGGCATTAGTTCATTACATAGTGTGTTTGGGGGTTGGGGTGGGAGGGTTCTTCTATCCAGTAAGTGAATGAGTGAATGTTTAGCTGATGGTTGTCTCTTTTCCCCGGCTCGTATCTGAAGGATACCTACAAATTACCGCACAGATTAATAGAAAAAAAGAGAAGAGACCGAATTAATGAATGCATTGCTCAGCTGAAAGATTTACTGCCTGAACATCTGAAATTGACAGTAAGATCTTAGCACTTTTTCATTCTCTGATGGTTCCAGGGTGTGCTGGCCTCATATAAACTCCCGGAGATAGGGTAATACATGTAAATATTAGGAGGCCTGACTTCCAACTTGTGCTGTGATGGAGAGTTTCCCAGGGGCTCCGGGCTGAAGGCAACGAGATCATTGATGACCTGCCTTGTGGGGAGCTGAGCAGCGCTTCCTTCCCAGTAGTGTTTTTTTTTTTTTTTCACCCTAAATTGCTGGGCTGCCCTGGGGAGCCGATCAAGGAAAATCCCTGTGTTTTAAAGTAACCCCTGCCCACTTCTTTTTGCACCACTGCAGACACTGGGGCATCTGGAGAAAGCAGTAGTTTTGGAATTAACTTTGAAGCACTTAAAAGCGTTAACAGCCTTAACGGAGCAGCAGCATCAGAAGATAATTGCTTTACAGAATGGTAAGTGGGTCTGAGGAAGCCTGCCCTGATAAACCGGGTAGCGTTGGGGCGCAGTGCTAGAACTCCCCGCCGCGTTCTGCTCTAGGTGAACATCGCCTCTGGTTTCCCTTTGCTGCCAAGTATCCCAGACGCTTTCTGCAGAGCTGGAGGAGCCCCGTTTTTATTTAAAGTGGCGGCTGCGCCTCTCTAGTTGGGTTTTTCAGTCGGGAGGAGAGCGCCTCACCCCGCCACCCCCTCCTCTCGGCAGTCTGCGGATTATATCGCTGGAATGCCCAGGAAAAGCCGAGCTCACTGTAGGCAGCGCAGGGCCCACGTGATGAGCAGATGTCTTAATGCCGCGGTTTTTCTTCTCGCCTCCCTCCCCCCCGTGCACCCTAGGGGAGCGCTCTCTGAAATCGCCGGTCCAGGCCGACTTGGATGCGTTCCACTCGGGGTTTCAAACCTGCGCCAAAGAAGTCTTGCAATACCTCGCGCGCTTTGAGAGCTGGACACCCAGGGAGCCGCGCTGCGCACAGCTCGTCAGCCACCTGCACGCCGTGGCCACCCAGCTCCTGACGCCACAGGTGCCCCCGGGCAGGGTCCCCGGCCGCGCGCCTTGCAGTACTGGGGCCGCGGCCGCCCCCGGCCCTGATCGCGCCGCCC